AACTATTTTTAATTGTTTATCAGACAAAAACTAAATCCTACTTTTCTTTAACTTTATAGAAATCAAACAATTTTGAATGAAGTTTGGCAACCACCCTACTTTTAAAACTTTTTTGCAGTATAATCACCATACATAAATACTGCCATGGCTTGAATATGGTAGTATCTACCAAAGATCAATGTGTTAAAAGCTTGGTATCCAGGACCAAGTTGGAAGTTGTTCTGTTACTGGATGTGTCCTGGAAAGGGTCTCTCTCTCTCTCTCTCTCTCTCTCTTTCTTTCTTTCTCCCTACCTTTGTTCAATATTTAAGCACTCACATCTATAGACACTTCTATGTTTCTTTTCCCACAGATCTAAACTGATGGGGATACCTATTGTTGGACATGACCCACCAAAACCATGAACCAAAATAAACTTCTCTTTACTATATAAATAGACTGTGTCAGGTATTCCATTATTGTGATTCAAAGATGACTAATATAGACACCAATACTTGAAAATTCTCTTTTTGTTTTTTCATTGCACAGCAATGCACTACATAGTAAGACTCACAAGTGAGGCAGTTCTTTCTTTTGTAAAGTTGGTGAGTACTATTATACAAGGCTTTAAAAGAAATGATAAAATTCCTAGATATCAAGCACAGTCTACCAAGAGTGCAAAAGGGACTGGTTACATTAAAACCCCTTAGATGAGCTTAACCTTCCAAAAAGTCTTTAGGTACACTCACAGCATGTTTTACAGTTCAAAATCCATGATCATAAATCCAGTCCTGTCAGTCAGAAGGCACAGATAAAAGTCTTGGCCACCAGATGTCACTAAATTTCCACATTCTACTGTAAGGTGCTATTATAATTCATTCAGGATAATCAGCAGGATTACTGAACAAGGGGAGGACAGAGAGTTGTCTTGTTACTTTCTCATTGCTGAAACAAAATACCTGACACCCAAAGTTAAAAGAGGAAAGGTTTACTTAGCTTACAGTTTGTAGAAGTTTCAGTCCATAATTGGCTGGCTCCAAAACAAGGTGTCATGGCAGACAGGCATCACAGAAGAGAAACAGTTCATAATAGGCCGAGGTAGCAAAGCAACCAGGGAAAATCAATCACATCTATTTCTATCCATTAAATCTTATCGAGGCTATTCAGAGTGGGTAGCACTCACAACCTTAATCCTTGTAACCCCGATCATTGCATTGTACCATGAATCAATTCCAGCATCACACACTCTAGATCCAGCCACCTCTGAAAAAGCCCAATCTATGAGTGCATGAGGTTTTGGGGAAGACTTCTAGACACAAGTCATAACAAAGATTTTAATATTCATTAATCTTTAAAGGAAAAACGTGTGACTGAGAAAAACAGGAATAAAAAAAGGCAAAGTTCTTTTGTATCATCATCATCCCATGCAACATGGATCTTTACAAACTTATATCCTGTGCAATGCAATCCACTAAATGTGTTCATGCAGAATTAAAATATGATAATTTGAAATATGTACCCCCAGTGGAAAATATTGTTATAAAATAAATTTTTAAAATTAAAATTTTCAAAAAATATTATATATAGCTTTTGTTAGTCTGAATAATTGTGTTAGTTAGAACAAGTTTATCTTAGACAGTGAAATGTTTCTGTGTGTTCAGTATAGCTTGCTAGACGGTGGTAAAATCCTGGTAGACAGGGACTTAAGGCATGGAGACACCAAGTTTAAGAACAGCCTGGGCTATATCCTCAGTTTAAGACTACTCTGTACTATAGTATGAGACTGTCAAAAACAAAGCTCTACTGGTTGCCCCTAAACATTTTTATTATTCAAATTCACTTAGTTTTGAAAAACTTGACTATTGCTTAGCCATTTGAAACTTATCATATTCCTTATGTAATGAATGTATCTGGAAGAATTGTTTATTGACATGCTTGCATTCATTACAGATAATTTATTCAGATTAATATGGGATGAAAGAACTGGCATTTCTTAAAGGTCTAGATTTTGTTTGTTTGTTTTGTGAAACAGCGTCTCAATGTGTAACTCAGACTGGGCTTGAACTCATTATGTAGCCCTGGCTGGCCTTGAACTCTCAGCTTCAGTCGCTGGAATGTAGGGATTATAGGCATGTGCTATCATCCTTGATTCAAAGGTCTAGATTTTTAACATGCAATCTTACTCAAATTTTAGAGAACAAGTTATATATACTGACTGTACTTCATTGTTCAGAGAATTACTTCACAAATGTTTCAAATCACATCATTATATCTCAAGAGAATTTTAATTAATTATTGTAATTCTAGCATAAAGAGATAAATTAATGCCGAACTAAAATAATACTCTGGCAAATTTTTTCAGTAAAATTATTTTACTTGAAACATGAAAAAATTTGTTTTTGCTTTTCTTTCAACATTTTATTATACACATTTTCAAGCATAAGAAAAGTTGAAAGAATTTGTTGCTGTTCTTGGTGCATGTCAGCTTGAAGTCCAGCAAAATGTTGTCCACCACCTGATGAATCAAGGGAGGTAACAGTGGTTTAGCACAGGTGCAAAACCTGAGAACCAGGGAAGTCAATTGTATAGTCTTAGTCTGAGGTTAAAGACCTGAGAACTGAGGAAGGCTGCAGCTGTAAGTTTTGGATGTGAAGGGCAAAGAAGCTATATTTTGATGTCCAAATGCAGTTGAAGATAGGTGGGTGCACCAGTTTTAGAAGAGAACAAACCAATTCACTTTCTCTCTCCCTTTTTGTTCTATTCCGGCCATTAGCTAACTGCATGGCACCAGGTGAGTATAAGTTTTCCTTACTTAGGCCACTTATAGAAATGCCGATTTCTTCTAGAAATATCTTCATAGCCTTACCCAGAAAAATGTTTTGACAGCTATCTGGATATTCCTTAATGAAGCCAAACTGATACCTAAAGTTGAAAATGGATAGGGCCGAGTCTAGCTAGGATTTACAGATGTGGTTCCTCCAGTCACTGTCTCATGGTGTCATGAATAGCATTATCTCTTCCCTTTTCACAGTGAAAATATCCCAGCTTTTGGTGGTCAGCATTTTTATTAGTCTTGAGCACCTTTGGTTGTGTTGCCTATCTTTAACTTAGAGCTCCTCCCAGAAATTAGGCTAGTATCTTTGATCTCCAGTTTCTCAGGAGTTAGAATTGATATGGCAGAGTCCAAAGCCCCCATAGTAAATCACATTGTTAGATTGATTTTGTCATGGAACCTAGATATACCACTCTTGTCCAGCAAAACATTACCAGAGCATGGAGATACCATCCTAGTAGACAAGGTCAGAGGTCAAACTTCTTTTGAGTAATGGTAATTCTTCACTAACAACTGTCCCTATTATTCGTTCACATCTGTATGTTTTGAGTAAATAACACATGTCCCATGGCAAAAAAAAAGTAAAAAGTATATCCACTTATTAGTATATATATATGTTTTTTCTTACATACACAAAGACTGTTTTTCCTTGTGAGTATTCAGGTTTAACTGAGAAGTTATTGAAGACTTCTCATTTATATATCCAACATGCCAAATAATGATTCACATACTTCACATCAGTGGGTTTTTCCTGAAAAATGAAATATGCTGTCAGTGAGTACATGATAGGAACTGATCTTCTACATTGCCACTGAATAATGCTTTTTTTCTTCCTTTCCCTAGTGCCAGGGATCGAACCCAAGACTTTGTACATGCCAGATAAGTGCTCAAGTACTGAGCTATATCCCTGGCTCTTATTTAACTCTAAGACAAGATCTCACTAACTTATCTAGGTTGGACTCAAATTTGCCATCTTTCTGCCTCAGCGTACTGAGTACTTAGGGTTATAGCCATGTGTCACCACAGCCTAGCTGCTATTTTCTTGCAGACAAAACTTTTCCAATAACTTGTCATTATATTTAATATTGAAACTAAGCTTTCAAAATTTTCAGAGTCTTATACTTGTTTGTTGTTAACAATGTGGTACTAGAGATTGAACACAGAACCTTGTGAGTGGTAGACAAATGCTTTGCTACTATGTTATATCCTGAGCCCTTTTTATTTACTTATTTTTTGAAATGGGGATCTCACTAATTTACATACACAGGCTGACCTTTAACTTATGGCAAAATCCTCCTGCTTTGCCTCTTGGACATTCAGGATTACAAAAGTGTACCATCATTCTGTTCCATATTGGTTTTAAAGAAGACAACTTTGGATAATGCTTTCATAATTTTGGATTCAGGTATCTCACATAACAAATTTTAAACCAGGATGCATTACTTAACACTGAGAAAAATAATAATTACCTAACTAAATTCATTTTTCAGAGAAATCAGCATGCTTTAAAAATAATGTAAAAATATTAATGGCAACATAAAAATACTTGACACACAATATGCTATGGATTACAGAACAAAAATAATTTTAGATAGTCATTGTCGCCCTTCTTTTTCTTTTTGGTGATGTTAGATAACATCACATTCAAAGAATCTCTTAAACACAATTATTTGTATAAATTCAACTATTTACATTATGGCATCACTATTTACATTTTTATGAAATATGGTACTAGTTTAATAAGAAGCCAATACTGTGAATTAGAAAAGGATCAACCATAGAATGAAAACTCAATGAGCATTACAGGAAAGAATTTTAGTGATGGTGACCACCATGAGCTTCATGTGAAACTGAGCTGCACCATCCTCATCCTGTGTGTATAAAACAGAATAACATTGTTAAACTTAATGGAATGTTTATGAAAAATACCTTATTTTCAAAATTTGAAAACTGTGAATTAAATGTGTAATATTTGGAAAATAGATGTAAATTATGTGAGAAAAAAGTTTCTGTACATTTTCATTCCCTTTGATACTGCCAAAATACTTTAATAGACTACCAAGAATCATCATTCTTTTAGAAATATTGTCCAGGGCTAGGATTTAACCTCCATTTTTACATAAACATCAAAAGATGAAAATAGTTAAAATAGAAAAAAAAGCATCAATAAGAAATCACAAAGAAGCACTTGGAATAAAATAGACTTTTTATTAAACAGTAAAAAATTACATAAATCAAAGTGAGAGTATCATCAGAAACTAGAAGAAACTTGTATTTGAAAATACAAGTACTTTCTGTCAACAAAAGCCTGGTATATATTAAATGCTCAACAAGTATTTCCCAAGTTGAAAGAATGTTTAGGAGAAAACATTGATGCATCATATAAAATCAATGTTTTTCTTAATCTTGCTCTAGCATACAGTTGCTCTTAAAACTACGATAGCCTATTCTGTAATTTCTCTTAATTCACAGAATTTCTCTTAATTCTCTGAATAATGTCCAGTAACTTTATGATTGTTCTACCGACAGTTCCAAGGTCAAGGTCCTTAAATGCTCGGGATTTTCTGTTATCTTGCTTCTATAATCCAAAATCTGATCTATTTTAATCAACTACAGCAAAATTTCCCTTTTTCTAGACAAATGTTCTCATTAAACTTCCTAGAATAATTTCCAATGAGTTTAGGAGCAGTAATCATCTATGTCCATGCTTCCTACAGAGTAAATCTATACTAAACCTGCCATTAGTCCATAAAGTCTTTTTGTTTTTTCTTTGTTCTGGGGTTGGAAACCATGACTTCATGGTTGCTAGACAAACATACTACCGCTCAACTACATCTTTAGCCATCCAATGTCTGTCTGAAATATTTTTCAACTTCTGGTCTTTATTTTTTTGAAGCAAATACCCATATTTGATTATTTTACTAATCTTTTTTCAACTTTACAGAAATATCTTCACTCCAAAATATATTTAATATACCATAATCTCTTAATAGTATTAAGTTAATATACCATAAACTCTTAATAGTATTTCAAAACCATCATGCTCAGAACACTAACACTAGCCTACAATTGGGCAAAGTAATCTAATGCAAAGCTTTTTTCTAATATTGTCGAACACCTTATGAAATTTATTAAATAAATACTGTACATAAAGTGAGTAACAGAATGGTTGCTCTATATTGGTAGCCTGGAGGAGTCCAAATTAAAAATTTGAGGTAGTTACTGCTGATTGTGTATTGCTTTCAAAGAATTACAAAGCTTAAAAATTAATTCATCATAAATTGGGCAACATCTACACTGATAAATATTTAATTTGGTTGTCAAGCCAGTTTGTATTTTTCTTGACTAAAACTTGGAAAATATATTGTGCACCTATAGAAGTCAAAAAGTGTTTAACAAAATCAGTTTACAGTTTTAGAATTTCTAATAATTAAAAATGTTTTAAAGTTCACATTTTCATTATAGATATGATGTAGAGTACATTCATATCATGGGTAGAAACACACATCCTACTCACACATTCTTAAAATGTATTCATGTACATTTTGAGTACAAAGTATGTTTTTCAATGACCTCTGCTTACAAGGAAGCAAAATAATGAAAATAACTTTCTCAGTAAGATCCTTTAAAAGTAAAATTGCTTTTAAAGTAAAATTGAATTTCTAAGAAGGTATGCAATTCCAACACCAGGAAAAATCATAGCTCTCAGAAAGAGATTTTTACACATGAAGAAACCGAGCTGTAGTTTATTGTAAAATAAAGTACTAGCCACCAGATTGGAAAGAAAGTACCAGAAATAACACCAGCTTTATAATTTTAAAAGTAAGATTAAAAACCCCACAAGTCAGAGGTGATCCTTACAACAAAACTCTGTGAAGTTAGCACACTAGCCACCTACCTTTGGATCTTTAGTTTCTTCATTTTCACAAAAACCTAGTAAGACCTCAATAATTCTATAAACCAAATGTTTCAATAATAAGGCTTTCTTCAGCAGCCATTTTTTGTACAAATAATAGAGTTGGCAATAGGTGATTTCCTTCAATTCTTACATTTAATAATTCCAAAGTAAATTAATTTTGTATGTGAGATTTAAAGTATCTACAAACTGGAGATAAAGAGTTACTAACTACCGAGTTTTTGTTGGATCTTTGAACAGAACTGTCTGCAATCTCACTGTATGAATGTCCACTTTGTATGCTTTAATTTTGTAATTTGGACAACTGTTTCTAAGACGACAATATGTAATCTATTAACTAGTGATTTCTCACTGTATTTTTTTCTTGAAATTCTGTTATTACTTGTACCCTTTTACTATTTTTTTTCTCTTTAAATAAAAAATTTTAAAAAAAAGAGTTACTAAACTAAAAAATTTCACTAAGTGATTTTTAAAGTAATACTGGAAATAGAATTTACAACTCCAGGTTACAACTCCAGAATTTATCAAACTCCAGGTCAGTTATTTCAAGACTAATACAAAAAAGTCCTGACTAGTTTCACACATCACATTAAACTCAGAGTAAATGTCACATTCTACATTTTACTGAGACCACTGCTAAAAATTATAATAGAAAAAGAAAGTTAAATGCACCTAGTACATGCTGACAGTTTGGAAACATTTCCTGCCAAAACTAAAGTGATCTGTCAAATGCCTTGTATTTTATACTGGTAAAATTTATACGATATAGCTAGAGCTTCATTGCTATTTAAAATTCCAATAAAATTTTCTTCTTCCTGGTCATATAAAAGGTCCTCTATGAATCCTTTCACAAAGGGCTTAGAAAAAGTTCCTTCCCTTAATCAACCTAAACTCAAACTATAAAGTGGATTAAATTTTTGCATTACTGTCCTAATTTTGTGACTTACAACAGTACACAGTAAATATATGGCCAATAAACTTGAAGAGAACCCACAATCAGAATATCTTATCTCTCAGTACTGCAACTGTGTCTAAACTGGGTAAACATTAAGGCTATAAAAATGGTTACAAGAAGTAGGGAGACATGGGAAGGAGTGATTTATGGTAAGATCATATATACAGACCAAAGACATGTTTGGATTCTTAAAATTCTTCAAGGCAGGGAGCTTAGCGCTACAGCGATCACCTATCAAGTGTAAGGTCCTAAGCTCAATTCTTGGCACTGAAGAAAAAAAAAAAAAAAGTAAAACCCTTCATCAGAATAACCAATACAAAACCACTGTAAAATTAAGAATCTTAAAATTTTTGTAAAGTTCTTGAATACTTTTTATAACCTTAAGTTTCTTCAAAGCATATTATTTGTCATTAAATTTATCTTGTCAAAATTCTAAATATTTTGGTAGGTTTTGTCTTCACATTTACCATAGTTTGAAAAACAAATGTCACACTGTAATTATTGTAAAAGATTTGCTAGTGAACGATTTGTTGTTCTCAATTTAGTACTCTACTGAAAAATATATGTTTTAAGAGTGTCCGCTAAAATGAAATTTTACAGCAATTTTTTTGAACATGGGACATAAAGGACTCTGATGTGCCCTGGGGAAAACCATGAACTCACTAAAATATTAAAAAACTATGTTATATTTCTTCTGATAAGAAAAAACACAATAATTGTCTTTCAAAAGATTGATGACTATTCCCCACAACCCAAATTTAAAAAAAACAGGGGTGTAGCTGAGTGGTACAGTACATGCTTAGCTTGTACAAGGTCCTTGGTTCACCACTCAGCACAAAAGAAAAAAAAGGGGGAACTGAAGGAAAGAACATCTAATTCTAAAATGACAGAATCTAAGAAAAATATTACAGTAGTGTTCATTCATTTTTCTGACCTATCTAGCTATAACAAACACGTTTAAAACATAGTTTCCAATTCTTTTTTAAATCAGCAAACTTTTAAAAAATGTATTTAACCATTTAGGCCTTTTTAAAATTATGGCAAATTAGCCTAGGGCAAATAAAAATACAGGTGATTTCAGGGTTTGACCACCTAATTATTACACATTATGTGTAGAATGTTGTATTCTTTCATTTCAGATTTTCCAAGTGTCAGTTGAATGACACAAAGCAAAAGAGATCTAAAGCTAGGTTTCTGTATGTCCTTAATATAACAACTAATGGGTGTGAATAAAGCAGTTCAGTGCTTGCATTTTGCTTTTCCATTATCATGGGCTAAGTTAAGCTCAAAGCTGCACAACCAGGTTCTACTTCCTGAATATTGTTTCCTCAAGCATCTCCTCTGTTTTTTTGGGTAACCTTAGGGCTCTTAAAACTATCCCCAGTACAGTACTCCCAAATTCGAATTATTTGAGGGCCTTAAAGTTTCTGTGTATCCACATTCAAAATGTAGACTATGTGACCAAATAACAAAACAAAACAGTACTGAAAATAATCAAACAAAAAAGCTTTTTTTCAATATGCAATCTTCTTTTTCCTTCCATTCCAACATGAGGTTCTATGTGCCGAGATACAGGAAGTCACCCAAAATAAAACAGCGCTAACCTTATAGTTTAGTGGGGGTGAACATATGATACATGTTGTTTTTAAGACAAAAGATATTAATGTTTGAAGTTGTTTTTTCTAAATTAAAACTTCAGTATTCAGGTTTAATTGCAGTGCTGTTACTTTGTAAACAATGGGCTCTGGGTTGTACTTTGGGCACTGAAAGGTTTGCCATTACTGTCTTAAATCTATCAAGATATCAATTTTTTTTAAGATTCCAAATTTCAGAAACTGATTAAAACTATGTGCAGAAACTGAATTTGTATAAAACCCAAGTTTTATACAAATTCAATATAGAAGAGAACTAGGGGAAATCCCTACCCAGTCTGAGAATCTGTAATATTTCTGCAGCACTTGACATCAGTAACACAAAAGAGATGTTTTGTAATTTTATCCTTTACTCAAGATGTCTATTTTTCAGTCCTACTTCAAATCTAAAAATAAGATAAATCTCAGATTTCACACTAAGCAAAGATATAGGATGAAGACTTTTGATCTACCTATATTATAAAATTACAATGGATAACTATTTTGCAAACTGTTATTTTCTTTATAACTAGAAGCAGTAAAATTTGCTGTTTTTGTCAAATGTCTAAAACTAAGCAAAAGACAATTGCAAATTAAATTTAAACAATATATTACTCTTCCACAGACAAAAAAGGTTTCCTTCCTTTATTAACTTCTGATTTTTGGACATACCAATTTACATCCCTCATAAGAGGAATCTCATTAAACACACAAAACACATGAGTGTTTTTCTCCTGCTTCCAATATTGGTATCAGTCTCCCTAAAGGATCATGACATACGTTAAAACTTAATGTATATATCATTGTACTTTCTGGTGGAATTTTATTCCTAAATGTACTTTTATAAATTAAAATTTCTTAACTAAATCGAGGATGAACATATAGTTGCTGGGTTATTAGTAATTTAAATTTTGAAGTATTTGTTTTAGTAAACCATCAATCCAACCTTGTAACTCAGACGTAGTAACACAAGTTAGAGATAATTCTTAATGAGATTAAAATGTGGAATGCATGTATGTATACCCACATTATAAGTTCATGGGTTTTTCCTGGAAGGGGCAGTCATGTGTGTCAAGATCGATCATGAATAACAATAATAATTCACTTAAAAGTTAGAAATAGGGATCTCATTAAAATTTGAACAGCGTATTTCCTTTATGTTGTTAAAATAAAAGCTCAATACTGCTATTAACTTAAGGCTAAATAAGGTCTGTTTTAAGATTAACAGTCATCATTGCCCAAAATAATACAAAACATGTTGATTATCAGAGAATTTAGCTTGGACAAGGGCAGTAACTTTGAGAAATCTTCCATAAATATTTAAAGAGGAGTAAGTTTTTCTTCCCCCGCTAAATTATTGGATTGTTGCATGAGTGTCATTTGCGTTTTCTAACATGGAAACTCTGAGTTTACATTAAATATCTCTACAACATTTAAAATTTTAAAAAAGAATAAAGGAGATGCATTTGTAAAATATCCATTATCTGGATTTAGATAAAAGCCAAAGAGTAATTTAAGGAAGCCTTGAGCACTCTTAATCCTTTCCCACATGGGAAGTATAGATAGTGGTATGATACTATAGTGAAAATATCACTTGTTTTCTAAGGTACACAGTTAACTACAGCATCTAAAGTGGGATTTATTTGATGAACTGCAGTAAGTTCTCAAAACATTTACTACAACTCAGGAAGAAACAGGCAAATAATCACATAATATGTACGCGTATAGTAGAGAAAGGTATTTCAAATAAAATACATCAATTCTCACATCTGAAATCACTTAAAAATTACTATGTATTTGGAAGAGCTTCTGTAGAAAGATTTTTTTAGGATGATACAGTGTCAATGGTTCAGGTTAGATAAACTGGGTTCTCTTTGTTCATGCCTCATTTCCACTACGTAAGGTCTGGTCTTCAATCCCACTGTCCAATGTCTGCGTTATATTAGGGCTTACTTCAGTGTTACCACATGATGCAGTCACATTATAAAAGGCCTCTAGATCACTCTGTTCAAATGTAACAGCAGGTTTTGGTACTGTTCCAGGAGCAAGGGAACTTTCTCCAATGATTCGTAGGTTGATAAATTTGATTTTCCAAGTATTTTCCACAAAAGGACAACGGATAAGTCCAAAGATTTGTTCAAAAATGCCCAAACACGTGTTTCCTCTGTGGACAGTTCCTGCAACTCCAATCATAACCAATCCATGGGGAGAAGAGCACCATTTTAGTCCATGGGAATCTAAGTTGGGGCTGAGATAAAGAAATTCTTCTTTCACTAGTGACAGCAAGCGAAGGCTCACAATATCTGCTCCATGGTAGTCTATCACATTTTGCTCTGATGTGCGGTAATAAAACCTAAGCTTGACATCATTCCAGAAGTGTTGAGGCCCCCATTCGTCTTGAGGTGGTCCCATTAAAGGATTCTGAGAATTGAGAAGTTTAAAGAACCAGTGACAAAATTCTTTTCCTAGGTGACAAAAATCGACTTTTTCAGCTTTTTTATCTTCTTTTTCCTGCTGATTAAAAAAAAAAAAAAAAAAAAAAAAAAACCTAAGGTATAACTCTCACATTTACTTTTTTTTTTAAATCTAACTTATTTTGGAACTAAGTTTTAATGTACTGATTACAGCTAAGAGAAATGAAATGTGATCTCACTGAATACATCATGTATATTGACAATCTGTTTCCCAAAAGGAGAAAAATCATTTTAGAATTTTCCAGGTCAAACATCTTAAATCTTAGCTAAGCAAAGTTAATAAGGCCCCAGCTAGGTGCAGTAACACACACTACTTATAGCAATCAGGGGGCATGAGGCAGGACTGCTTGACTCTGAGTTCAAATCTAACCCAGGCAATGAAAAGAACCCGCCTCTACAAAAAATAAATAAATAGAAAAGTAGAAGAGTAATGAAGGAACTATACATATAATACCCATAAATGTGAAGTCTTTGATGAAATGCACAAATTTGCTTTAAACTAACCAGGCCCATTAAAATATCAACATGAACAATGACAGTGAACTACATAAGCATTTTCTCTTGATTTCCGCAGGATTTGTCACAGCCTTCAAACTGTATGCTTCAAATGGATGTAATCTGGTGCTTTTAAATTATATTCTGGTAAGATTATGATAAACATTTTTACCATCTTTAAACACACTTTGAACTTTTCACAATTAACAGTATGACATAGATATTATGAATTTTTTTTTTTTTTTTGGTGTTGGGCTTTGTACTACCACTGAACTACACCCTTAGATCTGTTATGATTATTTTACAAATGAAGAAAACAAAGTTTAGAATGATCAAATTATTTGCCTAATCTCACATATTTTCTGTATCACTGACCTTAATTTAAAATAATATCTGTATTAGTCCAAAGCCCACTCTCTTTTCTGTACTTTAAGAAAAAAAGTACTTAGCTCCTTTCCTAATGTCAAGGCAAAACAATTATCTTCAATGAGTTAACATTTAAATTCTCATTCAAAAATGCACAAAAAAATAGCAACGGTCAATGCTGGCTGGAAAAAATTGCCACGGAATTTTTTCTAGCTAAATATTTCAGCCTTCTCTCATGTAATTTTTCTATTGGTAGTAATGAAATCTTAAAATTGTGAAAGCATTTACAATAGCTCTCCTTTCATTTCTCCCTTTTTATTAGTACATGATAAGAATAAATAAGAACTACACTCATCACAGGAAATTCGTACATATACATACATACGCATTTAATTGCATCTTGTTCCTTTTCATGTCTCTCTTTTCTCTCCTACTTTCTATCTCTCTACATCCCTAGATCCCTTTTCTTACCCCCAAACTGTCATTTGAAGTGGAAAAAAAATAAGAGAACTAGAACCTAAACTAAAATGAAAGTAATGTTTAGTTTGCTTTCAAAAATCCAACAGTTCTCATTTGATAATAAAGGAAGAAAAAAATTTTCTCATAAATCAATACATCATTAAATGTTGAAAACACTGTTTTATTCTCAGTTGCTTTAAAGTCTTTCCTCTTTTAAGGAAGCAAAGGTTATGGAGTGAAGATACAAATTAATCATAAGATACAAATATTATTAATTATCTCCCGCAGATCTAGGATTATCTACGAACCTTCAGACAAAATAAGGAATCAGAATATAACAATAAGATCTGTTTACCTGTTCAAAAAGTCGGATGTCCTCTTTCTTTCTAAGAGGCTGTGATGTTTCCTTCAGTTTGAGCTTTGCTAACTTTTCCCAGTATTCTTTTGCATGTTGGATAAGATTGTGTTTTTCGGTAGAGGGAGGTATAACAACTCCTTGTGTTGCCAAGTACTTAAATATGACTTCTCGATGGACTTTTCTACGCCTCAGAAGTTCTTCTACACTTTGACTGTACATTATTATTGTGCGAATAGCACCTAGAAGAACATTACAATGATTAATAAAAATCATGAGGCATTTACAAGTTGGTACGATGTCAGCAGAAATTCTACCACAAAGTAAACTCTCATCATGGTATCTGTTGTTGCAAATGGGATGGTTATTTAAAAAAAAAAAAACAAAAACAGGAAGTGGGTTGTAGGCTTTTTAGTTGCATGGCTTAAATATCCTTATCTAAAAAGACCCCCCCTTTCTTTCACTTCCCATGATAGTAAAATTCTGGCACAATTTTTAAAATAAGTGTTTTAAGTAGATATCCAGCCAGAAGAAATGTTTTTCTAATAAGACCACAAGAATTGAATTCACATAAAACCTCTTTAAAACCAGTAAAATTACAGTAGTTTAGACAGCAAGGAATTTTGGATCAATTTTCTCATCTATAGATACTCCAAGTTGAAGATAAACAAGAAACCAACACTCATATCTCTAGAAAGTGAAGAACCAGAACTTGTTTCTTCTTAATTAAAAATTTTATTCATAAAGTCAGGCAAAGTGATACATGCCTGTAATCCTAGCACTTGGCAGGCTGAAGCAGAGGGATCACAAGTTTGAAGCCAGCCTGGGCTACACAGTACATTTGAGACCACCCTAAACTACACAGTAAGACCCTGTCTCAAAAAAAAATACATAACTCAAACGAACGATTTTTTATATGTGTGAGGTATACAGAAGGGCAATAAAATGTACTCCTCTATATCTCCTAAAGATTATAAGACAGCAAATCACTGTAGTAGTATCTTTAAGACCCTACTTCCTTCTCCCTAGTGCTCTCACTTTTTCTTCTCATTCCTTAGAACAACTATTACTTTCTCTTCTCATTCCTCTTAGAGTAACTACTCTCTTCTGTATTATTTAGTATTTTCTGCTTTTCTTTGTAATTGCATAGCATAATTATTTCTAAACAATATATTTAGTATGGCATTTTAAAATGTTCTATAAATGTAATCCATTTATACGTGTAGTCTTCCAGAATCAGCTTTTCATTTAGTGTTGTTTTTGGTATTAAGTCTATTTAGCTCTAGTTAACTCCTGTTCACAGTTGTGAAACTGCAGGTCTTGTTTAGTCTTTTGTTGTGCCTGTCCTATCACTCTGTTTCTTTGAATATTCTCTTACAGGTCTGCCAGTGCACAGAAGGGTGAGCACCATGAGCAAATCACCTGGTATGCGTTAGAAATGCACAACTTTGGGCCCATTCAAACTACTGGACTGGGATTCAAAGCCTGATAAGCCAAAGTGTGGAGCAGTGATGGTGAACCCTTTAGAGACAAGTGCCCAACTTAAACCCGAATGCTGGGGCTTTTGTTTAGGAAAACAAAAACAAAAACGCGTCATACATTAACATCTTTTGTTTTAAAAGAAAAATACAGTAACATGCATTCCATCTGTTTGTTCATCATCAATGGTCTAGAGTTAGTGTCTAATCTTTCATTTTAGGAGACAATGTCAAATTTGTTTTCCAGTGGGGTAGTTGTAATTTATACTCCTCAATTAGTTGTCAGAATTGCTTCACCTAATCGCCAACAGATGAACTTTTTTTTTTCTTTAAATGCTTTGTCAATTTGGATTTTTGCTTTCTAAAAAGGCTGAGTATCTTTTCATGTGCTTATTGCTTATTTTTTTTCCTGAACTGTCCCTTCAAATCTTTTAATTTTGTACTGACCAGTTTTTTATTTGCTTTTAGATTCATCGCCAATTATTTCCAAAATTTTAATCTTTTTAATTCATTCACCGTAACTGTGAGGCGATTAAACATTTATAAATGCTGCAGAATCTAAGTCTAAACCTTTTTAAGTCTAAATTTTTAGGAGTTTTTTTTCTTTTTAATGCTCACTTTCCAAAGATACAAATGACTGATTTTCTTAAATGCCCAAAAGTTACATCCGACTTAGTGACCCTTGAAATCGACTATCTTATCTGTATCTGATTCCTAGAGTATCTCTATATAGAAAATCGTAACGGAAAAATGTGGGCTTTAAAGAGACCGCAACTGAAACCCTCTGTCTTTAATCACAGTAGGTGTTTTTATCTAAGCGCCTGATACGAAGGGTGCATGAAATTCTCCTCTTCCCAAATTTGACAAGCCTGAAGCAGCTGACTCCGCGGCCGATGGAAAGCTGGCAACCAAACTAAACACTCCGCTCCCAGAAGTCAGACGAACAACTCGTGTCAACAGCACCTGCCCGTAACACTAAAAGGATAAAACCTGGAGGAAGCCGCGCCATTGTCGGCCTCACCACCAGCCGACGTCTGCGTGCCGCTTCCGGGCCCACCAGCACCAAAGTGGGTGATAGTGGCTCTGCCCCAGAGTGAGGGAGCCTCATCAAGCTGGGCCCCGAACTCCCTCCACTCCAAAGCGCCCGCAACCCGGTACCTTGGCGGTCCTTAGGCTGCACCAGGCGGTTGGTGACGGTGTCGCACAAGGACATGATCTCGTCGTTGTCCAGTAGGCCGAGCAGGTTATGGCAGCCTTCCATCTCAGATTGACTAAGCCCAGACATCTCTACCCCCGGGAAAAGGGGGAGAGGACCGCGCCAATAAAATTGCTACGGCCCACAGGGCCGCTGCCTAGGCAACAGACACCGGAAGTGCCTTCCCCGAGGTTCGCAGCAGAGGGGTCCCAAGTATTCCAGACCCCTACGCGGAAGTGGTCGCCCGGATCAATGAGGGAAGGCTGTGCTACGGCTATGTGGTTCCGGGCTGTTTTGGAGCAAAGTTCCGCGAACTTCACTTTAAGGGAGAAGCCGCGTTTCCACGGAGAATGTCGACCTTCCGCGGAAAGCCAGTTACAAAACGAATTTGTGAACTCGCCAGGAGTCCCTCCTCCTCCAAACTTCGTCCCAGAGGGGTGCGCAGTCGCAGGTGCGTGGAAAGCGGGAGGCGGCCCCGGCGCAGGCGAACTCCCGTGATGCTAAGAGGCAAGCCAATGGCGGGCGCACCACCCCGCCCGTGGGCTGCCCCGGGAGCGCTTGAGTGTCAGTGCGATTTCTGAGTTGGGTGAGCCGACGTTTTAATATTCTTAAATCACACGAATTGAAATAAATTTTGGTTTAACATTATACCACGAAAAGTGAAAAAAAAAGAGGAAGAAAAAAACACTTATTCCACGCCTGCCCGCCTTCCACCTAATCCTCAAACTCAGTCCGGTCCCCTTGTCGCCAACTGCCCTCGTTGAAACTGTGTCATGAGCAGTTTGAGGTGGAGCATTCTCAATTATGGGGGTTTACTACGCCACTGACTAATATGACTCTCGAGCTCCTTAGATTTTTGGTCTGCCAAGTTTCTGTCTCAAAATGGATCTAGGATTCGTGGGTGCAGGGCAAGAACAGTAGGTGCAGAATATGTATTTTGGATATAATTATTAGCATGACAGTAATTCACATACAGAGAAACAGTCATGCTCTGCTAGACCAGGAATCACGCTTAAACACATTGTTTCTATCTCCTCCCATTTTAAGCCATGTTTTATATGAGTTAACATTTAGAGTATTGGCATTTAGTAGCTAAAATGTACGAATCTACATATCCAAGTGAAGAAATTTTAACACTTTCTTAATATCAGAGCTAAGTATGAGTAAATATGGTATACATTATAAAATATACTGTAAATATGGTCTGCAAAACAAGGCATTGAAAGCACAGGTAAATTGACTTGTCAAAGAATATTATTTGGAGGTACCATTTAGACATAAACAATAACTTTTATTTTGCATTAAGCTTTGATGAGTACCTTTTATGGTAGGTATTAAAGATTCTGAGAAATAATACATTCCATTAAGGATTTTTAAGGCTTTTTGCCAATAAAGAGAATATAAATGCTTATATGTACTGTTATGAGACCACATGGAAGGCATGCCCGATTTTGTCTCTCTTTCATTGGTTCACTCATTTAAAAATTATCATTATTGAGCACTTAACTACTTGTTGGGCATTGTTTTCTGCATTAGAAATAAATGTAGTTCCTTTGAGGCTTGTATTCCAGTAAACGAAAACAGATAAGAAACATAGAAAACTATTCTCTGCTAGGAGATGCTATTAAGAAAGAGAAAAGAGAAGGATTGAGAGGGTGTTCTGTTTTACACAGGTTGTAAGAAAAGGCTCCTCAAAGTGACATTGAAAAAGTGAGGGAGTGAATCACAGAAGAGTATTCTAGGGCATTTCTCAAATAAGGCACTCATATATAACCTCCCATTAAAACTGTATATTCATTGCCTGCATTTCTTCTTTTTTTTATTTTTTTTTTATTTTTTGCCTTTTTTCCTTCTTATCAGTACCCGCGATCGAACTCACTACTGCCTGCTTGCAAGGCAAGCGCTTATGCCGCTGAGCTAAATCCCCAGACCCCCAATGCCTGCATTTCTAAGAGCCAGGCATAAAGGAATTTTCTGATCTACCTATGTTTGATAGTAGGTCTTAGGAGCCTCCTCATACCAGAAGGGTCCTAATAACCTTCATGGAAGAATGCTGCACAGGGAGTCAATGTCTAAGCAAACAGGCCTGCTGAATTTCTCCATTCACTCTGTTATTAGATCATACCCATTTGGTTCAATCACATTTCAGTCTGGATGTCCATTCTTCAATCGTGCCTATGCAATGAAGTCTCCATAAAAACTCAGACAAGGTCTAGAGAACTTTTGGATAGCTGAACATGTGAAAGTTCATGGAGTTTGGCACAGCTATATAAAATAGTACACATACCATCATGAAACAAAAGACTTAGGCTTTAATCATTAGAGATGGGTATATCTATTTTTCTCTATCCTTTTTCGTACAATATGTGGAATACTGCCTCTGCTGATCTCCTTTTACTGCAAAGACCAGGTTCAATTTAGTAACATCAGGGAGAATGTCAGGATGTAGCTAAGGGTGAGAATTGCCTCTATTCTATATTATACAGAGAAGAAATCCCCTCAAATATGGAGCCAAAAAAAAAATGCTATAGTTAAGACTCAGTGGAAATATCCAGCTATCAGCCTATCCAGCAAAGCCATAAAAGCTAGTTCCTTGTTTTGATAATGGACCTATCTGATTCTTGTCATCAGTGTGTGCCTCCTTTATATCTTTAAGCTAAGACTCCTCTAATTTTTCCATACTTTCTAAATGCCAGGTGTCTCTTGACTGTTAAGTCATGAAATGCTTTTTCTATAACAAATGTCTTAGTTACTTTTCTTGTTGCTGAGACAAAACACCTGATGCTCAAAGTTAACAGAAGAAAGATTTATTTGACTTCAGTTTGTACAAGTTTCGGTCCATCATTGGCTGGCTCCACGGCAGGGTAGCATGGCAGACAAGCATTGCAGAGGAAAAACAGTTCACCTTGAGCAAAGTGTAGGAAAGCAAACAAGGGGCCTTAGCAGCTTCTTTCTGCCCCATTTATACTCTAGGCTACCAAGATGAGGGTGGTACCAAAACAATCAGTGGACTGGTCTAGTAATCACCTACCCTTAATCCCCCCCCAGCAATATATACTGTAGATCTAGCCACTTCTGATAAAGCCCCACTGTGACCACATACGACTTTAGGGGGATATCTAAATATAAAGCATTAACAAGAGTCAAAAAACCTACTCCAAAAGGGAGGCAAGTTGGAGCCACTATTTCTTATTTGTACAACCTCCTTAACTATCCAGTGACATGCCAATTTCCTACCCACTTTGAGCTAAAGAACCCATGACTGATGGGTAATACAGAAGGAACACAAAAGTTCCACACTTCTTCCAAAGCTAGATAAATCCAGTTGTTCCTTTGTATTCTGTAATGTTCTTTCGATAAATCAATATGTTAAGCTTTACAAGTTCTGTGACTCAGATTAAATGAACCCAAGGAGAAAGTTTTGAGGACCTCCAGTTATAGCTGTTCAGAACCACAGTGGGAAAAAAACTGTCTAGGGAACACAGAGTCTTGGGACTGAGTCTCAGCCTTTGGGATCTGATGTTAACTCCAAGTAAATTGTATTTGAATTGAATTGAATTGAATTGAATTGAATTGAATTGAATTGAACTGAACTGAACTGGAGTTGAGTTGAGCTGAGTTGAATTGAATTGGACTGAACTGAATTGAACTGAACTGAATTGAATTGAAGCACATCCAGCTAATCTTTGTCAAACAGGATTCTTGCTTAGTGCCTGGGGAAAAACCTTACCTATTAATTGATGAACTGTATTGTAAGTATAGTTGGATAAACTGAGTTTGAGTCAGGTTTTCTTTTTTCTAAATACAGGGCCACTGACATTTAGGCAAGATAATTCTTCGTTACGGGGATTAATGTGCATTGTAATATGCTTGCCTGCATTCCTGGCTTTATCCACTAGATAACACCATTTTCTTTCAGTTTCAGAATGCAAAATAACTCCAGGTATTGTTAAATGTTTGTTGAGGTTGTCATACAGCAACCTGTCAAATGAGGTGATGAAAATGTTCTGTGTCAGTGCAATTACTACCACCAGCAACATGAGGTTATTGAGATCTCATAATGTGACCAATGCAATTGAGAAACTAAATTTCAAATTTTATTTGAATTTCAACTAAATGTTCATAGCCATATGTTGCTAATGGCTACTGTTTTGGTGCAGATCTAGAGATTTTAGTCCACCCTATGGATTTTGGCTTTTGTTTGACTTTATTTCCTATTTCTCTGTCTCATTCCAGATCAGTGTCTTCCTGTTGTCTGCACCTTCATGCCAGTCTGTCACAATGCCATTGCTCTTGCTGTTTGGCCTGACAGCCTATGTCAGATACCTGAAGAGTTCCCTTCAGATAGTCCCTTACAGTATTCAAGTCCCTGGTTTAAAGTTACTTTATCAAGATGAATGTGGTAATCCCATCACTATGGGTGGGTGAGGCAGGAAGATCACAAATTTAAGCAAAGCATGAGCTACTTATCAAGACTATTTTAAAATAAAAAATAAAAAAGGATATAGTGCAATTTTAAGGCCCTTGTTTCAAACTTCAATACTTAAAAAAAGAATCACTTTATGAAAAGTCCTTGCTGCATCATTCTTTTTAGAGTCATGACCAAACTTTTACTGATTTTTTTCTTACCCACTTTTTCTCCATACCACTTATACTGTATTGTTTTTGCCTCCTTCCCACCCTCCAGTAGCTTTGTAAGGCAATGATTTTTATTTTTGTTTTTTCATTGCCATCATAAAGCCTGTAATGTAGGTTGTGAACCCACTAAATTAAAGAATGATCTGATTTGTTTCAAGCAAGAACAGCAGGCAGCTGCTGTGAAAAGTAGATTTAAGAAAAACAAGGATAAAAGAAAGGGAGCCTAATTAGGAAACTATACAATAGTCCTATCAGAGAAGATGGTTCCTTGAGTTCCACTGAAGGATATTATAGTAATTACTAGAAGGTTTGGGGTGAGTTCCTACAGTTGTCATTTACTGACCAAAGAAATACTGAGCGAAGTGGACTGTAATACAGACATAGTAGCAGTTAAGAGAGCTTTTTGAAGAAGGTGTGATGCTTACAAAAGATTAAATCTAAGAGTGAGAGGGGACAGGAAGAGAAAGAGTTATCTGTAAAGGATCAGCAGTAGTGCACAGAATTAAGTAGCAT